CACACAGGAAGTACATATGTGTCGGATAATCAAAAGATCTCTAATGTACTCTACATTCCAGACTTTAAGTTCAATTTACTCTCAGTCTCACAACTCACCAAGGAACTAAAGTGTATGGTAGGCTTCATTCCCGACTTCTATATTTTTCAAATCTTTACAGTGGTCAGGTGAAGGGGATTGGTAGAGAGGAACATGGAATCTATGTACTCAAATGAGGTATCTCAGAACAAGCTTTAGCTCAAATTTCAAATAAATGTGCATCTATAGCTACAACTCATACTCCAGCAGGCTCAAGCTGTTTGTGGAACAGGAGATTGGGACATGTTCCCTTAGACATAATAAGAAGAGTAGACAAGTTAAATAAGCTGACTGCTAGTGATAGTCACCACTGTAATGTGTGTCTTTTAGCCAACCAAACCAAACTTCCTTTTAAGCATAGTAATACTGTCACTAAGTCTATTTTTGAATTAGTTCACTGTGATATTTGGGGGCCATACAGGTTTCCTTCTCATGATGGAAGAAGATTCTTTGTCACTATAGTAGATGACTATACCAGATATATTTGGATCTTTCCGTTAACCTCTAAGTATGAAGCTTATGTTGTGCTTAAAAATTTCCTTGTTCAAGTTCAAAATGTATTCTCTACAACTGTAAAAACTCTGAGAACTAATAATGGAAGTGAGTTCTTTAGTACTGATTCAAAGTCTGTTGTCTAGTGTTGGTATTTTGCATGAAAGTACATGTGTATATATACCCCAACAGAATAGGGTTGTAGAAAGAAAACACAGAACCATTCTAAATATGACAAGGTCACTCAGGTTTAAAGATTCTGTTCCCTTAAGGTTTTGGGATGAGTATGTTACTACTACTGTATATCTACTAAACAGACTCCCTTCTAAAGTGGTTGGCTACAAATCACCTTTTGAGATGCTTTATTTGCATTCTCCTTCTTTGTCTCATTTGAGACTCTTTGGTTGTATGTGTTATGCTTCCACTCCCAAAGTGCTAGATAAGTTCTCACCTAAGGTTGTTCCTGCTGTACTTATGGGATACTCTTCCACACAAAAGCACTATCTCCTGTATGAATTTCACTCCAAAACCTTTCTAGTGAGCAGAAATATAATATTCAAGGAAGATGTTTTTCTTTTCAAATATGTCAAGTCATATGACAATCCTATGTTTTCTATCTTGGATTTACTCTCCCTAGTGGTGGTTCATGAGAATCCTACAGTATCAGTCATTCCAACATCATCATCCTTGGATTCATAAACTGATAACTTCTCAGACATTGAGTTACAACAGACATCTGATGCAGCTAAAATTGCTTCACAAGAAGAGCTTATGCAGGCACTTGACAATGTTGAGCCTACTGCTGCCCTTGATAATTCTGAATCTGATGCTACACTTGACTATTATGAGCCTGTTGCTGAGATTCTTGCTTCTGATGTAGTCAGTGATAAACCTTCTACAGGTTGTAGGAGATCTTCCAGACCAAGCAAGCCTCCTATTTGGCTACAGGACTATGTCACAAAGAATAAAGGAACCAAGTGCAACTTTCCTATCTCTGCACATGTGGACTATACTCATCTCTCCCCTACTTACAGACAAGCAATTTTAGCTTGCTTAGTAGCTTCAAAACCAGCTTCTTTCAAGGAAGTTGCATCTGATCCTAGATGGATAGAGGCCATACAGCTTGAATCGCATGCCTTGGAGGATAACAATACATGATCTGTTGTAGACATACCTCCTGGTAAAACACCTATTGGCTGTAGTTGGGTGTTCAAGATCAAGTACAAGGCTACAGGTGAAGTTGAAAGGTTCAAGGCTCGACTAGTGGCTAAGGGTTATAGTAAAATAGAAGGGTTGGACTATGGAGAAACATTCTCACCAGTGGCCAAAATGGTCACAGTGATATCTGTTATTGTTACTGTCTCAAAACATTGTTATATCTATCAAATGGATGTACATAATGTTTTTCTCAATGGGGGCCTACATGAAGAAGTGTACATGGTCTTGCCTGAGGGGTTTGCTAGATAGAGGGAGTCGTAGAAGGTCTACAAACTCCACAAGTCCTTATATAGCCTTAAGCAAGCACCCAGGCCGTGGAAATAAAGCTTACAGAAGCACTGGTACACATGGGGTTTCAACAGAGTCACTGTGACTATTTCCTATTTATCAATAGAGTTGGGGATGATATTGTGATAATTTTGGTGTATGTAGATGATCTTTTGATTACTAGCAACCATAAGCTGCTATGAGATACAATGTCAGCTCTTCAAGGCAAGTTCAAAATGAAAGACCTAGGAGAACTAAAGTTCTTTCTAGGAATTGAATTTGCAAGGTCAAATAAGGGGATCCTAATGAGTCAAAGGAAATATGCTTTAGAGTTGATCTCTAAAGCAGGTCATAGTGGTGCAAAGCCATCTAGCACACCTATTGAGCTCAACCAAAAGCTAACCACTGTAGAATATGATCTGTCCTTCAGGGAAGGGAATGCCACTACTGATGAAGTGCTAAGGGATCTTAGTGTCTATCAAAGACTGGTTAGGAAACTGCTATATCTAACTATGACCCGGCATGATATCTCCTTTGTAGTACAGATCTTGAGTCAATTTATGCATTGTCCCAGAACCTTTCATATGGAGGCAGCATCAAGAGCAGTGAGATATATAAAGCAGGCACCTGGTTTATGATTACTTATGCCTGTAGAAGACTCAAAGAGTCTGATTGCCTATTGTGATTTTGATTGGGGAGCTTGTGTGCAAACAAGAAGATCAATAACTGGTTATCTGGTGAAGATTGGAAATGCCCTAGTGTCTTGGAAATCCGAGAAGCAAAGCACTGTCTCCAGAAGCTCAGCTGAAGCAGAATTTAGAAGCATGGCTTCCTGTGCAGCAGAGCTTACTTGGTTGATAGGGTTATATGCATAATTAGGAGTCAAAGTTAGTCTGCCTGGGGGCGAGGGCATGTTTCTCTCTCGGCGCAAGATAGCTTAACTTGCGCCACCATGGCCGGGAAGAGAACTCGTGTACCCACACCAGAAGATGTTGATGGCTCAAGCGACCGCACAAGAGGCAGCTATACACAAAAGAAAGAGAAATCACAACCAAAACCAGTAGAGAGAACTTCATAGGAGGAAGAAGAAATTGAACAGGAGTCAACAAATTTCAATGGAACAGTGGCATCACAAGGTAATGGAACAATAGAATTGTTGGTTAAAGCAACAGATATCCATCACAGAGAGCATGAATTATCATAAATTCAGGGGCTAAAGCGTTAAATCCAAAATCAACTGGAATTCGTAAGCTATCATGGGCAGAGGAGGTCGAAGCAGAAGCAGATCTAGAAAATAAGTCATCTATATGGGACAATTTTGACATCACTAAAGTGTCAAATGCAGGTTTCAAGCTAGACTATGTGGAACCAGCAGTGCATGGTGAGGTTTCAGTATGTGAAATTGATTTAGAGGATATAAATTCTGAAAATTGTATATTGGAAGAATGCAGTAGCATGTATGTCTTAGGGGCTCATCCTCCATTTGCTGTTTTGAATGGATTTATCCAACGATTATGGCAAAGTATGGCTTTAATAAGGTAGCTATGCTGAAGAATGGGATTCTATTGGTAAGGTTTGATACTGAACTAGGAAAGAATGAGGTGTTTCAAGGTGGAATCTATCATTTCGATAACAAGCCTTCCATTGTAAAATCTTGGAATTCGGACATGAAGTTCACAAGAGAAGAAGTATACACAGTGCCTATATGAGTTAAACTGCCAAGACTAGAATTTAAGTATTGGAGTCCTAAGGGTCTAAGTAAGATTGGTAGTTTGATTGGAAAGCCTTTAATGGTGGATCATAATACTGAGAAGAAAATGAGATTGAACTTTGCAAGACTATTGATCGAGGTAGGCATTGATATAACAAGAAAGTTAGAAATGAGGGAGGCCATTTAAAACCTCCCTTAGGGAATGGATAGCACATGTGCTGGAACACTAGAGGGCTCAATGGTCCTAATAAGCAAAGGGAAGTAAAGATCCTTTGCAGTAAAGAATCAATAGGTATGGTTGGACTAGTAGAACAAAAATAAAGGTGGGTAGAATAGAAAAGATTGCCAATGCTATGTTTCCAGGATGAGGTTGTGTTACTAATTTGGAGTTTCATTATAATGGTAGAATTTGGTTGACTTGGCAACCAGATTACTATAATGTTAGTTACCTAAATGCGAATGCCCAAGCTATCACATGCGAGGTAAAAATGTGGGGTTGCAGTTGCAATTTATGATGAAAATTGTGTATGCATATAATACAAAGGAAGAGAGGAAGGAATTGTGGAGGTACTTGGAAGGTGTAAGTAGGAACTCTCAATGCCCTTGGATTATCATGGGAGATTTCAATTCTATTTTAAACATAAATAACAGAAAGGGAGGGACTCCAGTTGCTATTAGTGAAGTACTGGATTTCCAAAGATGTGTAGAAGAGTGTGAGCTAATGGATCTGCCATCCCAAAGGAGCAGGTACACTTGAAATGATAAACAAGGGGAGCACAGGATTTTCTCTATAATAGACTGAGTGTTTGTAAATAATGTCTGGCTCTTAAATATGCCTCACTACATTGCTAATTACTTCCCAGAGGGGATTAGTGACCATTGCCCAGTGAAACTAGAGCCACTTAACATTAGATCAGGTATAAGAAAGCCATTTAAATACTGTAATGTATGGGCTAGTCATCCAAGTTTTTTTGGAGAAAGTCAAGGAAGTATAGCAAGCACAAGAAAGAGGATGTAAAATGCTGCAAGTAGTGAAGAAGCTTAAACTGCTGAAGAAGAGCTTAAAAGAGCTAAATAAGCAGGACTTCAGGAATATATTAACTGAAGCTGATGAAGACAGAGATTAGTTGAGCAAAACACAACTAGAATTGCAAAGGAAACCTAGAGATAGTGATTTCAAAAGGAGGAAATGGAGCAATATAGGAAATTCAGATGACTATCCTACCTAGTATAGATGTTCCTTCAGCAGAGGAGTAAGGCTACATGGATCAAATTAGGAGATGATAACAACAAGTATTTTTACTCTATCATCAAACACATGAAGCTACAACAAGCAGTCACTCAAATACAAGACAAACATGGAATAATGCAGCATGATCCAGAGAAGATAGCTATGGTCTTTGTGGACTACTATCAGGAATTGCTGGGGAGGAAAGAGCAGGGGAGGGTTAAAGCTTTTGGGAGTTTTTTGAAGAATGATCACATATTGACAGTAGAAGAACAGGTGCAATTGGTGAGACAATACAATAAAAAGGATGTCAAAGAGGCTTTATTTAGAATTGATAGTACAAAAAGCCCAGGTCTTGATGGATACAGTAGTAATTTTTTCAAGAAAGCATGGTCAATTGTGGGAGAGGATGTGACTGAAGCTGTACTGGAATTCTGAGCAATGATAAGCTTTTGAAGCAGCTCAATGCAACCATGATCTCCTTGATTCCCAAAGTAGAGGTGCCACAAATGGCAAGCCAATATAGACCAATATCCCGCTGCAATGTATTATACAAATGCATATCTAAGGTAATATATCAGAGATTAAAGAATACATTAACCTCACTGGTTGCAGAAAATCAAGCAGCTTTTGTAGAAGGGAGAGCACTAGCTTACAACATTCTAATCTGTCATGATCTAATGAGACATTATAACAGGGGGAATTCACCAAGGTGTTTGATGAAGATTGACTTGAGGAAAGCATATGATATGGTTAGCTGGGACTTTATTGAGGAAGCATTGATTGGATATGGTTATCCTATTTCATGTATCCAGTTGATCATGTTGTGCATCACATCAACAAAATTCTCAATGAAAGTAAATGGAGTGGGGTACGGATACTTTGAAGGAAAGAAAGGGTTGAGACAGGGGGACCCAATCTCACCACTGCTCTTTGTACTTGTTATGGAATATCTCACTAGAACTTTGAAAAGGATGAGTGAGCTCCCAGATTTCAAATTTCATCCAATGTGCAAGAATTTAAAGATGACACAATTAATATTTGCAGATGATCTAATGATCTTTTGCAAAGGAGATATACAATAAATTTGAAGGGTGATGGAGGCTTTGCACCACTTCAGTAGTGTGACAGGTTTAGGGGCAAATACAGACAAAACAAACATCTTCCTGGCAGGAATAGAAGATGATAGGAAAGAGGAGATATTGACATACACAGGATTCTCAATAGGAACTCTACCTATTAGATATCTTGGTTTGCCTTTGTCGTCTAAAAAAAGGAGTAAGATGGACTCTCACTAGCTGGTGGAGAAGATAACTAATAGAATTAATACTGCTTACTCAAAGCAATTGTCTTATGTAGGTAGATTACAGATTATCAATGCAATGTTATTCTCAATCTACAATTTCTATGGATCTATCCTTATATTACCTCAAAATGTGCTAAAGAAAGTGGATAGGAAATGTAGGGACTATCTATGGGGTAGCTCTACTGAGCATAAGAGAGTGCCTCTGATATCATGGTACAAAGTATGTGTTCCAAAGCCATTTGGAGGGCTGAATATTAAGAGCTGTAGGAAGTGGAATATGGCATCAGTAGGGAAATTGCTATGGCAACTAACAATGAAATAGGATATACTTTGGGTGAGATGGGTGCATGGGTTATATATGAAGAATGATGTGAGTATATAGGATCACAAACCACCTCTTGACTGTAGTTGGTACTGGAAGAAGCTCAACTCACTCAAGTTGGTAATGAAGGACTGGTATCAGGATGATAGGTACATGTTGACAGTTAATGGGAACTATTCTGTAACTATGAGCTACAATGCTTTACTAAGAGACATGGTGACGCTGCCAGAAGCTGATTTAATATGGAATAGGCTCATGCAAACAAAGCATAGATTCATAGTATGGCTAGCAAATCAGGAGAGGCTGCTGACCAAGGAAAGGGTCAAGAGATTACAAGTACTAGTAAGTGATGATGCATGCTGCTTATATGGGGATGAGTTGAGTGAAACTCAAAAACATATATTTGCTGAGTGTACATGGGTTACTGACTTAAGAGAAGAGCTGTCCATATGGATTGGACTACAATTGCAGAGATATGGGGTGAGACAAACAATAAGATGGATCAAGAGGAAGCACTGGAGACAAACAACAACAAAGGAGGTGATCATGGCACTCTGGGGAGCGATGATCTACCATGTATGGTAGGCCAGGAATTGGAAGTTGTTTCGAAATATAAATGTAAATAGTAATTTTATTAAAGAGCAGATACAAAAGGAAACTAGGCATAGACTAGATATGATACAAGATACAAAGAGAGGGCGAGGTTGCAAAATGTTAATACAGAGATTATGTAATTAGTTTTTTTCAAGTTGAGGCCTAGAAGTGTCAAGCACCCCTCCTAGAAGGTGGTTTGAACTTTAGGTGCTCTTTAGGTGTATCAATTTGGCTGTTATGATAATATTTCACATTTATTATCAAAAAAAGTTAGTTTGCCTGTGAAGCTAGTGTGTGACAGTAAGGGAGCAATTTAAATTGCTGCAAATCCAATCTTTCACGAGAGAACAAAACATATTGACATTGATTATCATTTTGTAGGGAAAAACTATGTGAAGGAATGCTGAAAAACTGAATATATGCATACCGAAGATCAATTGGCAGACCTTCTAACTAAGAGTCTGGGAAGAGCACAACATGAGTATCTGTTGAATCAGCTAGGATTATGTGTACCAGCCATCAGCTTGAGGTTGAGTGTTGAAGTATTGATTAACAAGCTGATACTTAACTATAGTTAACTGTTACTGTAATAACTAACTAGGTTGGTTATTTTGTTATTAAAGGTAGTTAGTTAGTGGTTAGAGATATATAAATATATGTACTCTTAGAACAGTTAGTTTCAACCACTTCAATGAAATATTTCTCGTTTCTCATCTCTTTCACTGTGCTAGTCTTCTCTCTTCTCAAGCTCTAGATCAATCGTCCATGACAGCTAACAGTCATATCTGTGCATATGCAGTTACATTGTTTCTGTGCTATATTTTTATTACTATATATTTTGTATATGAATTACACAAGCTTACAAAGTGAGTGTTTTTTATATAAACCTTCGCTACTGATTTGTTGCGGATAGTGGATAATACTTACTGAGTACGTGTTGGTGTACTCATACTATACTTTTGCATTTTATGTACAGATTTTGACCCTTACGAGTGGAGTTCATGAGGAAGTCTAGGAGCTGTTTGGAGACTCAGTAGTGAACTGCTTGGCCTTAATTGCAACACATTGGACTCACCTTCTATCTTTCTATCGCGTTTATTACTTCAAACATTATTTGTATTTTGAGACAGTATAATATTGTTCCTTTGGACGCTCATGACAAAATTTACCTGTTCCTGAGGGTTGTAAGATATTTCGACATTGTATTCGACTTAGTATTATCTTATTTATATTATCATGTTATACTCTCTATTATGATATGATGTCTTGTATTGTGGTTAATTGTATGATTGGTTCGCATGACGAGTTTTTTTTTTTGAGCAAATAGGAAATATATATTAAAGGTTACGGAACATGCATTACATGGGATTGTAGTTTGTGTCACTCAGGACACTGTAATTTCCTAGGCTTGCTAACATATTGCAAGCATCATAAGATAAAAGTTTTTCAAAAACACATTGTTCCAAAACATCATGTTGTACTAGGAATTGAACATCTTCAGGGGGAGCAACAAAAACATTCTTCTTCTTCCTTGTATTAGCAATTCCCATGCATGCTAGCTGGTGAGCTATCCTACGGAATTCGTGCTTGAGGGTCATCTGCTTCCGTTGGTGCATTAACAACCTGCATTTTAATAAAATGTTAGCATATAAGTTATTACCTTGTTGTGTTGATATAAATTACCTCCGTGGAATCCGTTTCAATTTGAAGTGGAAACAAACCCCACTCATGGGCTGTTTTTAGTCCTTCTAGTAGAGCTTTTATTTTTGCTTGAAGACAACCATTTGCATTGGCACATTTGTTGTAACCAACAATCCATTCGCCTTTAGCATTTCTGATTACTCCACCTAAGCCACATTTTTGCATGTCTTTTTGAAAGCTGGCATCAATGTTTAACTTGAACCATCCCATTGGAGGCTTATGCCATCTAACCTTAATGCGGAGCTTTGGAGCATGTAACACATTAGTTTCCGTTAACAGATGGAATTCTATAGCTCTACTTGCAATGTGGTGGAAGTTTGTAGGCAAATTGGTATTATTATGGTTATTGTTATTCCCGTTGATCCAAATATACCAAATTGCAAAAGGGAAGAAAAGATTCCAGCTTAATAAGTTACTGTTGAAGGAGTAATTAAAGTTTTTTAATTGGAGTAGCCAATGTTCCCCATTCTCCTTGTAGGATTTTTTCCAACCAATGGTTTCCCAAAGATGGTTGCTTGCATGGCAGTTGAGAAAAATATGAGTGATAGATTCTTCTATATTGTTTCGACATATTGGACAATGAGGATCTATGTTAAGGTCAATTTTTGCGAGGTATTGTCTACAAGGATTTTTATTGTGTAGGCATTGCCAGAGGAAAATTTTGATTTTATTGGGACAAGGCAAGCTCCAAATCCATTGAAAATCCAAATTATTGTTCTTATTATTGTTGATTAAAGAGTAGCAAATTTTGGTCGTGAAGATACCTTTAGTATTAAGGGACCAAATAGGGATATCCTTAATAGGATGTTTGACACGAATTTTTATTTTTGATATGGCATCCTTGATATTATTGGGAACGTTGAGGGATATATTATCAAAGTGCCATTGCTGGCCATCAAAAATGTTCCTTATCTTAAAGTGATAATCATTTTTTGATAAAGGGCCTTCTACTTTGGCTCTAAAGCGGCCTAGGTTGGGTATCCAATTAGTCTCCTAAATATTCATGTTAGAAAGATGATGAAGCTGCCAATTGATATCTTTGGAGCATACTTCCCACCCTTTTAGCATACCTTTCCATATGAAGGAATTTTTTCTTGTGTTCTTACTGTTTGCATAGGAATTAATAATGAGATTAGCCCATGGTGTGGTAGGATTGGTAATAGTCCTCCAAGCAAGGTTTGCTAGGGTACATATATTTTTATCTTTTGCCTTATGGAGACCCAGTCCTCCCATATCTTTTGGTTGACAAACGGTTGATGTCACGACCCGGATTTTCTACCATCGGGAGTCGTGATGGCGCCTACTGTTGGAGCTAGGCAAGCCAAACATTTAAACATTTTCGGATAACAACATAACAATAATAAAATACCGAGCCTTTAAATAAATGCGAAAGTCTTTTAAAACATAAATAACTGAAAACCCAAAATGCAGTAGTCTAATATTTCACTACCCAAGACTTGAGTCGCTATCTCACGAAACTACTAAAGAGTGCTACAAACAAGTCTGAATAGGAAA